AAACTTATATATAAATATAGAGTTTTTATTAATTTATCTTGAGAATTTATTTTAACAATTAATAGTTATTTAATCTATAAATATATGATATTATTTTTTAATTTTTTAAATTTAATATATATTATTTAATTTTTATAAATACCTACTATTTTCATTATATATCTTTATTATTACTTAACCGATAAGGAATTTTTACATAATTTTATGAAAACTTCATAGGTTTCTGTAATATATAATAACTATTAATTACACCAAAAGATTAAATTAAATTAACTATATGATATATCTGACGAAATTACATTTTTAATATAGTAAAACTGATAAAGCTAAAATGATGAAACTAGTTTTTATAAATGATGAAATTATTTTACTTACTGTAAACGGTTAACTAAAGTACTTCAGATACGATATAAATTCTCAAATTTTGGAGGGTATAATAATATGGGAAGTACTTTGATCAAGGAAAGAATATAGCATATCTACTGAAACTAATAAAAATATGACAAATTTTTATTCATCAAAATTTATCAAAATAATTTTTTGATGCTGGTTTGATATTTTATTATTTGAAAATTTGTATTTTTTTCTTTTAAACTTCATTTTCCTCTTTAATTAATAATAATAAACTCTGAATTGCTTAAATATTCAAACCCATCCGAATCATTTAAAATAGCTGAACTTGATAGTTTTTCTTAACTAATTTAAAAATAAGCTGATAAGTAATTCAAAAAAAAATTTTAATATTATCGATAAATTTTAGTGCTACTTTTTAAAGAGGTTGTGATCAAAGAATTTATTAGATCAGAATATAAAGCATAATTAGCTTTTTTTATAATGCGTTCTTTTAAAAAATTCTGATACAAAAGTCTTTTCTCAAAAAAGGATAATATATCGTAATAAACGTTCTTATAAAAATCCATATTTTTTTAAAGAAAAAAAAGCAGTGGTAAGGTTGCTCGATGAAATCAAAAGTTTAGACAAACGTCTGCGAAATTTGGAAAAAGGTAAAACTATATTAAAGCTTATAAAAATGGTGAAACTATATCAAACACTTAGTAAAAATTTAGCGAAACTAAAGGTTTTACTGTTTTGCTAAATTCAGACAAGCAACTTTAGGCAGTGATATACAAGTGAGAATTTACTTATTATCTATTATGCTGAACAATGTGAAAGTAATAGGTTAGGTTAGCAGCTAAAAAATTTGAAGTTGAGCCTAAACAAATATGATATTGGAAAAACTAAAAAAATCAATTAGAATATGCAGCTCCTTATATTCAGAACTGCATAAAGAGAGAGAAGCTTATCTTGAAAAAAGGTTGTTTTTATAGGTAACAGATATGTGTTAAGCAGCAAAGGTTGTTATGCGAGTTATGCAAAATATGGTTACTAGAAGGACTAAATCTATAGCTAAAGATTATCTTAATCTTTATCCAAATATTAATAATTTTATATTTTCAAATGCATGGTTAGAAGGTTTTATGAAAAGATTTAATTTTGCAATATGACAATGAACTCATATTATGTAACATCTTCTAGATGATCTTTTACAAAACAGCAAAGTTTCTTAGTTTTATTTTATATCAAAGAATTCAATATAATTACTCTTTAAAATATATTGGTAACATAGATAAGTCTCCAGTCACTTTTGATTTACTTTCAAATATAACATTAAAAAATCAACGTGACACTTTAACAGTAATTATATGTACAACCGGTCTTGAAAAAACTCATTTTACTGTTGTTTTATTATGTTTGACTAATAGTACAAAACTTTTAGCTACTTGGATTTTTAAATTAAAAAACATTTCAAAAGAGCAATTTCCTCAAGATATAATATTCATGTAAATGAAAAAGGATAGATGAATGAAAATGAAATGTTATGGTTAAAAATGGATACTATAATTAAGAAGTTGCAACTTAGTAAGTTGCAACTTCAGGTAAATTTATTTTAATATAAAAATCATAAATAGTTGTAACTTAAAGTATTACAACTTAAGTTGCAACTAATTAAAAATTTTAAAAATAATTATAGAAACCATCTTTAGTTATGATAAATTGAAAATGTATTAAATCGATGTGATCCATTAGGTAATTCTCGATCTCTTCTAGTTTTGAATTCTTTTAAAAGGCATTTGGTTAATATTGTTAAAAATATATTTGTTGAAAAACAAACAAATTTAGCAGTAATTTCGGGTGGTTTAACTAGTAAACTTCAACTATTAGATGTTTCTATTAATAAAAGTTTTAAATCTAAATTGAGATAATATTATTAAGATTGGATGGCTTCAGAAATGCATTATTTAACATCAGCAGGAAATATTAAAAAACTATCATATTCTACAATTGCTAAATAGGTTATAGATTCATGAAATGATGTTGATACTGCTTTAATTTACAAATCATTTAAATGTTATAGAATATCAGTGGCTAGAGATAGAATTGAGGATCATTTATAATTTGATTATGATTTTTTATTCAAAAAAAAGAAGAAAAAAAATAATGGTGAAAATAATATTCATAAGGAAAATGAAGTAGAAATAAATGAATCAGATTACAGTCATACCTCTCTATAGCGAATTTTTATATAACGAATTTTTTGGACAACTATATTAAATTTACCCTCGTTATAACGAACTAGCCAATCAAATTCTTTAAAAAATTCACTATAGCTCTATAGCGAAGTTGAAGTTCAGGACATAAAATTCGTTATATCAAGGGTTGACTGTATGAATATAAAAATGATTTGCTATTAGATGATTTAGAATCTAATGAATATGATAATAAAGAATTATTAAATTTTTGGAATTAGTTTTTTTTATTTTTTTTTTGTATTAAATTTCTATATATATATATCAAATAAACTAAATTTTATATCTAAATAAAATATTTTGATTTAAGTTTTATACCCTCAGATATGATACATTTTTTTTAAAAAAAAATTTAAAACTTTGATGTTTTGTATCTAGGGTACGATACTTTTTTTGCCATAAAAAATGCCAAAAAGGTATAATACTCAGGGGTACTTTAGTCAACTGTTTACAGTAATTACTAAATTATATTTTAATTATATGTGAATTCCTTGAATTAAAATACATTAAAAAATATAATAATTTTTATATATATTCATATAAAAATATTAAAAAAATGAATTCTTTTGATAAAACTACAATTTTTTAAAAAAAAGTTTAAACAGATATTACTAAATATATCTATAAATGTAATTTTAGTAATTTAAATACTGATGGAGATAGTTGTTAAAAAGTTTAATAAATTCTTAAGACCAATTATTTATTGATTTCTAAAATTAAAATTTTAATAAATAATATTATTTTAATAATTTATTTTTAATAAAATTATTTTTATTTTTGTATTTCATTATATAAATTATTTACTATAATAATCATTATTTATATTAAATCATGATATTCATTAGCTTTTAATCTAAATATTGATTATTATTTTTTATATATATGAATTTTATAACTATTAATACAAAATTTAGATAAAAATTCAATTTGTATATATTGCATAAAAAGTAATATTATTTAAAATTCTTTCTTATTTTGTTTTAAATAATATTGTAATAAAAATGTTTAAAAAGAATATTTAATAATTTTATAATTAAAAAAATAAAATTTTAATTAATATGAAAGCTAAGATAAAAAAATTATATACAGTATAACCAAAATACAAATCAAGCGAAAAAGTATTTTCTGGAAATATTTACATTATTTTTTTTCACTAAATATAAATTATTATAAAAAAAAATTAAAAAAAATTCACCATTTAAAATAACAATTATTGTTAGAAGATTTGCATGTATACTAGACCCTATAGTTTACTAGACAAAATCAACTATTAATCTGTTGACGATCAATATTTCTTTATACAGTTAATGCATTTTCTCTATTTTTTATAATTGGAGACATTCTATGAAATGGATTAATCCATTTTCATTTCATAAAAATGAATCATCACATGATTTAGTCATCTTTTTAAAATATGTCTGTGTAAAAAGAAACCCGTTGTTTCATGAATCTTTCCTATTCGTGTCGTGTTAAATAATGTTTCTCATTCAGTGAATAAGGTCCATTCATTACTAAACTCGCAAAATATAATTTCCAATTTATTTTATGTTTAATGAAACTAAATTTTTAGATACCATTAAATTGGGAAGACGTTATTAGTTACAAAGATAGGGTTTTGTGAATAAACCAAGAGTTCAATAAAGATATTTGTTATTCATTTGCTATTACCTTTTGCCATGTCTTCATACAGGCATGATTGTGATTAAGTTTTGTATTTAATTCGAAGACTGAATTAAATCGTCTAAATTTTGATTCCAGCAAACCGGTTAACAACGTCTTACTCCTTCCTTAATAATAATTTTATTATCTCTTTCCGAGCTTCTAGCAATTCAGCTTGTGTCTCGATTACTTTTGTTTTTAATCTAGTATGGGGATCGGCTCATCAGTTCTATTCGGTTCCGCTTCGGCTCTCATTAGTAAATATAAGCTACATGCGTCAAATTTAAAACACAGGTAGAACATGTGATAAAGATCATTTATAAAAAAATTTGATTGTCATCAAACGATAGTTGTTTTTACTGTCAAATTTTGATGACAAGCTGATTGAGCGTCAGTTTCAGAGTCGGTTTCCAGAGTTCTATTTTCAATATTTGTTAGAATCGGTTCCATAACCAACTTGAGTCAACTCATTTTAGCCGATAACCATTTCCTCTGTTTCGACTTTTGTTTATTCAGAAGATCCTTTGGAGAATTCAAAATTTTATTTAGAAAATAATTTGATGAATTATTAATAATAATAAAAAAAATTAAATTATTTACCATCAAATTCTACATCGATTCGCTCAACATTATATGACAAAAAATACAAAATAGGTTTTATAACCTGATGTGAATATAATGTTGGGGGACTTTTGTGCATATGAAGGCAATTTCCAAACGCGTTCCAATTGGGTCAAAAACATTCCTAGACAATTATAATACTTCCTCAATTCTTCTCGACCAATAGGTATATCGCAATACCGCCTTTTTAATATGTTCGCTTATAAAAGTTTTATCTTCAAATAGCTCAACTCTATATTTGTTAATTCCATTCCATACTTGTGGTGTTTCCTATATCATTAATTAAGTAACCGAATCCTAAATAAACATCCTCATCCATATCATTGAATTATTATCATATTCGATTGAAAAACTCGTGGTTTCGAGTTTCGACGGTTTGCAATAATATTTAATTATAGTTTTGACAGTGTTAGTGATAGTCTAGTTATGACGCATTAGTACTGCGCCAATTACAATTAGCGAATGATGATCCCGTCGATC